CCATACCCGCAGAGGGGGTGCCTAATTTTCCTCTACGACTATATTTTTATTTCTATCAACATAACTAGAATCTTCGTTACTTTAAGAGGTACAAAGTCTGTCAAATTGGGAAAAATTGCGGAATTTGATGACGAATAACTTGCCCAACAGAAATTTTACCTGTCTTATTTCATTTTGAAGTTATGGTCGAAAAACTATTCATGATTTGACTTTTAAATCATAATCGAAAAGCAGTAGCACCAGACGCACATTTTTATGTGGCATATGATGATTTTGTTTTTGTCACAATACGAAATTTCTACAGGCAATTGAATTAGTTAAATTTTTCTCATGAATGTCAAATTTCAAAACATTAAAATTGCGATGGTAAGATTAAACACAACCAGATATTTTTTACATCAATTAATCAATAATTTTGAAGCAGTTTTCACTCTTCTTCATGTAAAAAATGTATCTTTTGTTATCTAAGCTTTGATAATGTCAATGAAGATTTAACTGAACTGTCAAAATACATAATTACATATTTTGTCTTCAATGCTCTAAAAATGAATAATTTGATATTTTGACGAAAATAAAAAAGTAATACGCCATACTATTATGGCACATCATTGCAATCAGAAAAATTCTAAAATGGGAAAACAGAATAGAAATAGAGATACAAATGGAATAGCGATAGGAAACAGAATAGAAATTCAATAAGGCAGAAAACCAAAAGCTGCATGTCATTTATCTTAAATTGATGGACGTTGTATTTCTTAGGATAACCGAAATGATAATATGGTGCTACTTGAAAAATGGAGACCAGAATTTGAACACAAAGATAATTTTGTTTAGTAACTTTGAGAGATAAAAAGTTATGACAAAATATTAATTTGAAAATGTTAACTTTGAGGTTATGTACTGAGTTTTCAAAAATATGTCTTAGATGTACCATTATTTTATCACCCCACAAATATTTTGCTCATGATTTCCGTATATTCTATATTATTTTTGTGAAGTATTTATAATTCAACTCATTATTTTTAATGAGTATTTACAATTTCAATACAAACGATATCTTACGGTAAAAATGTTTTCAAGATGGCTATACTTCTAGTTATATCGGAAGTTGATATCAAATTACTACATTACTACAAATAATATGGCATATTTTCATGGAATTTAGCTTTTATGTTACCTGTGGGGTAGAAAAATATTGGCTTTATCGATGTGAAAAAATGATACTCAAGATTGTACACGCACCAAAAGATAAAGTACGTAGTTTTTCCCAATTTTGTAGAATTTTACCTTCAAAAGTAATCAGCTACTATAAATTTTGCAAACGTAAATTAAAATCTCAAGAAAACGATTTAAATTTTTGAATGTTTTCTCTCAACTTGTCCATTTTTATTTGTAATATTTTACATAAGCATAAATATTATTTGTCTCTGATAAGTAACAAGTCCAAACACTCCTCCTATATAACGTAAATAATCCAATAATAAAAAGAAACATTGCCCAGTATAAAATGCTCATTAAGCTCAAAGTATATAATAGAGAATAGAGAAAGGACGAAGGAAATAACTGAACACTGAAGTCAATACAAATCTTGAGAAAATTTTAAAGTGGAGAGAGGTGCAATCGTTCTTTTTGAAATTGTATTATACGAATTTAGTACGATAATACGTTTAGAAACATTCCTGACTGAAGAGTGGCTAAAGTTTACCAACTAAGTTGCTCCAACTCCAAAACTTAACGATGCTTAGAGTTAGAATGACGAGTAGAAATATTATTATTATTATTTAAAGGTCTCTTTAAATTTCCCTATATCTATCTAAGGATTATATAATTTACAATTCCAACAATTATGATATTTTATGTAAATGGAGGTAGAGTAATTACGTGTTCTAGTGTATAGAATTAGAAACTAAGGTGAACCGTATTCCGTCACATGATATCACAAGACCTTGGTTGACACTTAAACATGAAACTGTTAAATTGTAATTTATTCATATTTCTGCGTAGTTTGACCTTTGACTCCCATACTAAAACGTACAACAATATAGGAAACTGCTCGAAATTATTTATTTCTAAATTATGCAACTATGAACTTGCTCCCTGGGCGTACCTACTATGGTTACATAAAGTTTTAGTTGATTAGTAATCATTACAGTACAGTACATACACAAACATTATCATATAGGGTGCCCCTTAAGGATCAGGATAATGTTGATTGACTATGATAATTAGATAATATGATAAAAATAACACAGGCATACAATTTTTTTTTCGTAGTTTTTAACAGAGTAGATATCCCCCTGTATTTTGATCGCCTCAAAATTTTTCCCTAACCTCAAAAAATAGCTCAAAATTAGTGGAAATCTCGATTTTCATGTTAAAATAATTAGGATTTTGAAATTAATCTACAGACATTAAATAGGATCAAATTAAAAACTTTTTATTTCTACACTTTTTTCTCTAAAATGCCTCATTATTAAAACGTCTATAACTCCTCAAAAATGCATTTTAGAAGGAAAAGTGCAGGAATAAAAGTCTTTGTTTTGACCCATTTAACACGCCTGTGCGGTTGTTTTCTTTATGTTTAGGGCTCATGATATATTCCTTTTTATTAACAATCATGATATATTCCTTTTTATTACTCACGGTTTGTATTATTTGGTTCAAAATAAAAACTTTTTATTCTCGCACTTTCTAAAATGCATCCTTGAGGAGTTATAGGCATTTTAATAATGCTCTAAATTGATTTTAAACTGCTGCAACTCCAGAAGGAGGCATTTTTGAGAAAAACATGCTCGAACAAAAAGTTTTTATTTTGACCCTATTAATAACACTGTGTATCTTAATTTCAAAATCATAACTGTTTTAATAAAAAATTGAGATTTCCACTGATCGGAGCTATTTTTTGAGGTTCGTGAAAAATCCTGACGGGATGGAGCATTTCTAATGGCTCTATCTACGACAGCTTTTCAAATATTTTTATAAATTGAACAACTTATTACACAAATGTAGATACTAACTTTTAGAATTAAAATCAATCTTTATAACATCAAACCATCAATTTTAACTTCGGTCACAAAAGACTATATGTATACAACCTTTCCTATAATTAATATAAAAGTAATTACAAGTTACTAGAATATAATTAAAACTTGTAATTGAAAAGTAAAAATTACTAAATATTCCAAAAGGTTAGAAGTAGTTCTGGTGTTTCAAATATTTCGCCTAATTTATTGAAATTTTAAAATTTACCACAACTTTTATAGTATTAGTATTTAAAATACAACTTGGCCAATTTATGGAATCAATAATTTTACAAAAATTTTAACGACAATTGACAACTTACTATTGCATAGACTACCAAAATTGATATTAATTAAGAATTACTTATGATTTGTTTAAGAAGTTCAATTACAAAAACTACTAATGTTCCATACGGAGATATGTATGTAAAATATTTTAATAACAAGTATACCGACAAGGGCAATACTACAATTAACAATGAGAATAAATAAAACGCCAGTTTAGCGCGTAATTATTTCATAAATCAATAACCAATTAGAACAGCTCTATTTTTTCATCCCAGAGCAAAATTCTGAGTATATTGTGGAATTATGCGAATAATTAAAATAATGTTTTCAGGTATTCCAAGGCTTGCATTCAAAGTGTACTGAAATCGCAAAATGCGTAATGCATTAGAAATAGATTGTTTAATTTGGAAATAGAAAGTTGTGGTAACTTCCGGTTAATTAGGAAGACCCACTACATTTTTTTATTACCACCGCTATAAGCAAATAAACCAAATAAAAATACTGAAAACTGTTTTCCACACGGATTAATCAATACTTTGTCCTTTATGTTCCTCTGGCACGATAATTTGATATAATTTTAAATTTAATACAATTAATATAGGTACTACAAATTAAGAAAATGAAACTTTTTGTGAACTGTTGCAGAAATTATTCCCCAGAAAAGAATATCCTCTGTTATTTTATGAAAATATAATAGAATATAGGGAAAATTAAATATTTACTAACAAAACTGATTTTTGTAGTATAAACAATGTCTTCTATTACCTACTGTATACTTAAATGTGTTTTTGGCACTAGTATAAATAAGATTTATTTAGTTTTTAGCACATCTATAAGAAATTTCGTGTTTTATTAAAAAAAAAACATTAATGTTATATAAATATTTTTGAAAATTCAATACAATTTATTAGGTAGCTAATTAGTTGATTTTTGTCTTAAGAACAAATGAATTTAAGTATATTTTAATGTTTGTTATTTCTATTTCAGCTAATACTGTTATAGTAAACCTAAAGTCTACAGGAATTTCATTTTATACAAAAAAGTAGGTAGGTAATTTATATAAATCGGAGAAAATCCTAAATATTACTACCTAAATAATATTATTAAGTAATGCGATATTTTTAAGAGAACTATTCATCAAATATACATTGGTGCATAGATGCAGAACTGTAACTATAATATAAAATAATTCGCCTTTGATTCCGTTTAACTTTTTTATTATACCAGACGTTACCAAAATTTTCTGTTCCGGTTCTTCATAAAATTACAATATCAGCATATATTTTTTACTACACCATCGTCAAGTTATAAAAGAGCATTTTTTACATTCTCATAAAGCGATTTTATAGTATCCACAAATTTTCAGTACCGTGAAACACTTGTCACACAATGATAAATTAAATAAAAAATGAAGTATGTTATCTGATTACAATCTCAAATGCAATTTTTCAGTACACTATCCTGAAGAAACAAAAAAAACAATTCTTACCTTTGCATAAAGCGATTTTACAGTATCCACAAATTTTCAGTACCGTGAAAAACTTGTCACACAGTGTCAAATAAAAAAAAATAGAAATATAGGCATGTTATCTGATTAGAAAACAACTGCAGAGAAAGTATTATTATCAGGTATCCCTGAATCAGAATTGGTCTGATACCCGGCTACAAGAAGTATTTAAGTGGGGGGGTGGTTCCAACTTATTATAAAGATATCGTCGGACCTTCAAGTTTCAGTGGCACCCCTGTGCAATTGTCATTAAGAACAGTGATTTTTTAAATTATAATGAGGACTTTGGTACGTATACCACAATAATTTTTTCTTATATAGTATTGTAATATGACTAACTACATTCTTTTTTGTTTTGTCAAACTTGTAATATTTTTGAATATTTAAAAAATATTAATTTTTCATTAGTTTTCACTTTTTTATTAGTAGCCATATTTTGAAAATCACAAAATTAAAGAATTTTTTTGCAAAAAATACAGACTTTTTCTTTGATTGAGAAAGAAAGATATATGTATACTAAATTTCTTAGTTTTGTTCGCCATCTTTGTAAAATTTTTGTTTTCTCTTTATATACGCAGTTCAAACAAAATATAGTTAATAATTTCAATAACTCTTAAATAATAAAAGAATATATTAAAGTTATTCATGAACAATTCGTGAAACTTTTTGCCCAAATATAAAAATTTTGTCGAAATGTGACATTGATGCTTCTTGTTTTGAAATTCATATATTTTTCGATTAACTAAAATAAAATAATTATTGGTATATTCTACCAATTATCACTTCAGAAACTCTTTTTCTATTTTTCCTTCCTCAATTTCATTTTATTGATTCAGTGCCAATAAAATTTGAATGATTCCTTTAAATACTGAATGAATCCTTTAATAACATATAAAGTTCAACGGAAAGTATTTCCCACGACAATTACAATAAGTACAGTAATCCACTTGATGTGCACTTAACCATTTAATAATATAATACGTATTTTTTCTAGAATTTCCTTGCTACAGCTTACTCATTTTAGGACAGAAAATAATACCATTATATGGTAATGAATACGTACTAAGTTTAAGTAGGTCCAACGTTTTTTAATTAATTCATTAATAATACCATTTATATGCAATATGTCTAAGGTGATAAACTTGGCTATTTCAAATATAATTATAGATTATTATTAAAAGTAGCTTAGAGTAGATTAAAACATTATTAACTAATTTTGTTGTAAGGAACAACTATTCTGCGGACTACAGCTCCGTCCAACATTAAGTTACACCCGTAATATTTAGTAAACAGCTAAAATTATTTATTAACACTAATCTTACCATTTTACTATCCTTGAGGAAAATGGAATAGAGATACTATTGCAATTTGATTAAGAAAATGTATATTCTAATCTGATAACATTTCTAAATTCTGAATTTAGTCATGCTTATTATTTAGCACATTTTAATATTGTAAATATTATAAAGAAAGTCCGGCATCGAAAGTAGCTTGGATTAAAATAAACCTATTTAGGTCAAGTTACCTTTGTAAAATATTAACTTCAAAACGTTTGCTTTAAATGCATTTTATTTCAGTGTTCAATTTTCAGTCACAATTGTCACTTATGGATAGCCGAATAATTCGAATAATTAGGAGTATTATAATTTAAACTTCGCCTTTTTTTAGACTAACTTTTCTCAATCGGCCTGTAACTGTTGTTTCACGAAACTACATCAAAGTTGATCCAAATCGTTAAAGTCGAATAAAAATACATATTTAGCAATTATAATTTGAAAAGGCAACTAAATTTTGATAATAGTTACCTAGATATACAAGAATATCCTGAAAAACTGTTGAGCCTATTCATCACAAAGAAACATATTCCTATGTTAGAAATAATTAAAACAATAAGTTGTTATTAGTATGTATACTTTATTGCTATGTTAATGTTTATCAATTCGATTAAATTTTGTTTCAACTCGAGCTCATTTTGTTACTATAAAAAAGTTTATTAACATATTTTTGGTTTCCTAATGGAAGAATCCATTATAATGATTTTTATAGCAAATAGTACAATGGAAAAACTAAACTTCCCTGTCTCATGACATTATGTAGATGACTCTTTATTAACGATTCTAAAAGATAAAGCAAATGTACATAGTTTTAGAAGCTTTTAATATTATAAGTAACCTACAATTCGCCATGATGATTAGAAAAAGATAGTAATATTCCTTTTCCAAAAACCGGTCTTTAGTCCATTGGACATTTCTCATCAGTATTCAGACAAATGGAAACATTTTTTTAGCTCGTTATCCTTCTACACAATATTTAGCAAGAGAGTAAAGTTTAATTAGATCAGAATATTCCCAAATATTCGATTCTCCGTAAGTAATAACTTCAGTGTTTTAAAGTCGGTGTCTCGTCACACGTGTTAGTGGCACGCAATAGTTTTTATACCTTTTTAATGTTTAAATTTTAAATAAAGTCTAACATTTTTTCAAAGCCTTTACCAACAAAATATGTATAACAGAAAGTAAAAGACTGATATTCTTAGCGACCTCTAAGTTTTAGATAAAAATTAAATCTAGGTTCATCTTTAAATGCCTTTAAAATCCCCTAAACCAAAGCAAAATTGTACTTGGAAGGTAACTCGACCTAAATCAGTATATTTTTGTTAAAGGAAGCTACCCTTGAAGTATGACCTATTTGCTTCTAGACATCCTGTATAAAATATTAAACTAGTATAAAGGGTGCAACTAAAACTGTTGACCGAACTGTAAAAATTCTATGATACAAATTAAAAAAATATTCTTTCAATAATTATGTGCTTCGTTTACGATATAGGTATAGATTGCTATAAGTTAATGAAAGCTGCAAAAAAAATTGAGAAAAGCTATGTAAATAACTAACGTTTTTTTCCAAGTAATTTAATGTTTTGATAACTGTAGCAATACTAACCTAGACATGGTTTTAATATGTTATTCTTATCTTGAAAGGGGTGCATTTTTGCACGCACTATTAATAAATCTTTGGAAGGTCCTTAGCATTATGTCAAATTTGCTTTAAGGGAAAAAGAAATGCAAACAAAAAGTTCTACTTCCATATACGGAAATACGCCCCTACATGTATCATGGATAGTGTGGACAATCATGAAATTACTTAAGTCGCTTTTGGTAGTCCTTTTTCTCAAATTTAGCGTCTTGTATCTTGAAAACGAATAGTTTTCGGATACGTGGTTATAGAGACTTTTGTTGATTTATGCATTAAATTTTGGAAAAGCATTTTATCAACATCCACTAGTAAAACAAATCACGTTTTATTTAACGAAATATTTGTTCATTTACATCAAATTAAAGGAGATCTTCATATTTTTATTCTTATATTATTCATTCGTTTCATGAACATAAATATTGTATTGTATCTACTATAAAGTAAGCTGAAAATAATGAATAAATGATTTAATATCAAATTTAAATAGGGAACAATTTGAAATAAATGTCTTTGTTATAAAAACAGACACGTCTACAATAAAAAAAATTGTAACTAAAGCGTGATAAATTGAGAGAAGGACAATTGCTTTTATATTTTTATTGAAACGCCTAAAATATCACGTCTACATATAAGTACTGTGATATGAAATAAATTCATACATTGAACAAAAAATATTACAATAGCAAGTCATCGACGTCTGAAGGTAATTCAGTTGTTTTGTTCCCGAGCAATATGAACCCGAAGCTGAATGAAGCAAAAGCTTTACCGAGAACTAATACTGCAAACGTAAAAGCTATCAAGGATCAATAAAAACCCCGACACGCTTCGCTTGTTGCAAGCTGGAACTTGCGTGTTAATACTCTTTAACTTTAATACACATTAATCCTTCTTATCGAAAAAATTGATACGCTAATATATTCCCCATTAATTAATAAAGCATGTGGGCTAGTTGGAAAGAACGGATCCTTATTAGACATTACGCTAACGTAGAAAAGTTGCGTAACGGTAAGGTGATTTGCTAGTGGTTGTTCGACGCATTATAAAATTACTTTCTCTAATTCAGACCGTCGAGTCCTGGCACCCATACATAAAAGCTCTCGGGGGTTATAAATCAAACAGAAACAATTGCCAGTAAAGGTATTTGTTGTCGCATTTAGTATTCAGAAGGTGAAAAGCACGTGATCAGTACTGTTCTTAATTCGTAAATTATCTAATTATGGTTTCGCTTGTGTTGTTAATTAACTTTCTTTTCACACGATCTAGAACACCTTTATTCTTGTACAAACTGCTAGATATGATATCTATTTGCAAAATTAAAAATTTGAAAAAATAGTCCCAAAAGGGAACTTACTGTTTGCCCTATACACTTTGCCCCTAAAAATTTTTCCACTTTTCTAATTTTATGTACAGTGTGTTCAATTAAAAAAAGTTAAAAGGATCTGTAATCCATTTTCGTTAAACACTGAGGTATGTAAGTAAGGTTTTTTAATGGTAAAGGTACATTCCTTGTACTGGATTTTTAATAATAAAAATATGTATGTTACAGGTACAGGGTGATTCACTATATTTTGACCCCCCCTTTAACTTTTTTGTTTTAAGAGATATAAAAAATGTGAAATATAAAATTTGTACGAGTTTTTATGAATTTTTCGAAAATTATAGTAGAAAAATAAATGAAGTCCAAACAAAATGGCCGCGGATGTTAACTTTGTTAAGTTAAATGGAACACCCTGTATATTTTTATATATTTGGATAGAACGTTCCCTGTTGAGCATAGTCATGTGGGGTTTGTTGGGTCCATCTCTAACAATAAGCGAGATACTATTAAAAAACGAAAAGAAGGTTTTTTATTAAGAAAATAAGACATTCCAGATTCAGACTTGAGAGAGAAGGTTATACAGTTTTATTGTTTTCGCGTTTAGTTATTGAATTTTGGATGATTTATAGAGTTCATTCCTGGTGTCATTTCTTTTCTTAAATTGGGTATTTTAGTCACATTGAAATTAAAAATAAATTTAATTTTAAATAAATATACAGATGTGCCAAAAAGATTAGCCAAGATATCAAATTTGTTTTTGCCGAACTATAAATATCTCAAGCGGAGAAAGTAACGTTTCGAAAAACTCCTCTTTGCGTCCTCAAAACTCTAATCAAAATGACTAAAACAAATTTTACTATTTTCTTGTCACATTAAACTAGTACTGTATACTTCTTCTAAATTTTGACATACTACTTGGTAGTATAATGTTCGCACTATAAGAAATATCAAGAAGAATATCAGTGGAATTTCCAACGTTACAAAAATATTATAATGCATAATCTAATGATAGAACAGAAAAATTTCTATCTGAAATCATTCGATTTTAATTAATTATCATTTGTTAAATAAGTGTTGCCATAATAATTACGAGAATTATGAGTATGTTTAAGACACTAATATAAAATGAATAATATGCAGTATAATTTTTTGTACAAACAATGGAAATATGTTTTTGCCCACTGTTTATAAAATAACATTTTTATAAGGAGTAACATTTTCTTAAAAGTATACAAATAAGAAAGTTTTCCATCTTCGGGACACAATTGTATGACACACTGTATAAATAACATTGAAATATATTGTTACAAAAACTTAATGCAGAGTTCTTAAAACTGTCAGCATTTTAAAATTTGTGTTCATAGAGCCAATTTAAGAACATCATAAGTATTCATATTTTCGGACATTTCGATCCTAGACATCTCTAAGAAGTTCAAATTAAAATTGTTTACAAGGACAAAAAATTAAAATTAAAGAGTTAATAAGAGTATAAGTAAAAAAATTAGTGGCGAAAAGATTTTATTGACACGTAAAACATTTTTGCTCAATTACTTGTTTAGGAGGAAAAGCCAGACCCCTGTAACAACTTTTGCGTGTGCCACTGAAAAAGAATAACAAAGGATGAAGGATAAAAGATCATTGTTATGGTTATTTAAATTCCATTTATGAAAACAAAGGCAACCAATCTTGTTAGCAAAACATAAATTAAAAGAGAATCATTTCGTGTAAAATTAAATTCTAAACTAAAATAGGTACTACTGCAAGAAAAATAACACATAACAATAACATGTACTAGCAGCAAAACTTTTAAGATTTGTCCAGTAAACTATTCAAAAAATAATTTTCAATAGTCTTTACAATGTAATGTAACATCAAGAAGAAATTTCATTTTATTTGGAAAATTCTTGAACTTTTTCTGAAAGTATGTCAACTCCGTCCTTCATAAATGTCAAGTTGTCCTATCCTTTATACTTTTACTTTCGCAAGGATTATTTCTCTGTGTCCTGCAGGTTCGTTATTAAAGTGTCCGTAGCTGCATTTCCTGATACCAATTACTTGGAAATATTGCGCGCAACTTTCCATTTTTATCAGCGGTTCATTGTTTGAATCGATTACCACTCCCAGTTTATTCGCCGCACATTAGAATGCGGATCAAAAAACGCGCGCAAAGTCTGCAATAAGCATAAATAGTGGAGCAAGAGGGACAAAATGTAAGCGTATTGTCCTTGCTGAATCTAAAAGGAACGGTAGTAAACGGAACGTCTGAAAAAAAATCTCCAGGATGGAGTAAGAAGTTTATTATTCCTTTCACAATTCGACGGCCGCAGATTTATATTGCCCTGGACGAGCCTCGTTATCTTGTAATCTTTGTGTACAACTGTTATATATTTACTGTAACAAGATTAGAAAACTAGTGATATAAAAGTCAATTCGTTACTTTAAATTGCGTATTCTTAAGCTTAAGTAGAAGAAAGTAAATGTAAATAATTCTCGTAGATTTAATAAAATTAACCTGCATTTTCCATTTTTTGTCCGTCTCGATAAAATTTAGAAGGGTGTACTACTACTAAATCTTAATGGACCACATTTGTAGAGAAAAATATAAAATTTGCTGTTACTTTTGGAATAGCCTCGTACAAACGCACAATCGCTTTAATATTCGGAGACTCTTTAACGGATAATTCCTTGCGAAAATCCAAAGAGAATGTTCTTTATAAACTTATTTTCAAAAACAATTGCTATCGGTGTTATACCTCTTTAAGGGATAGGTTAAAATTCGGTTTTTATTTGTCACATTTGGAGGAACATGGAAAATTTTTTAAATCATCTGCAACCCTCGAAAGAGTCGAAAATTGCAACCTTTAAAGATTTTTTCATTGTATTTTTTCACGGAAATTTGCGATTCAAAAAATGACAATTAAAAATATTTATTTTTCTCATTTTCTGTAGTATTTATCATTAAAATGTAATGTTCTTTAGTAATAAAAATAAAATAAGTTTCCTTTTGAATAATTAATACAGAAATACTAAATACTTTACGAAAACTCTTAGCGACCTTCAACTTTAATAAAAGCTTCATCCTGCGATACATTGATAGAAAAGAATTCGTAAAAAAGATAGTGAAGTACCTATATCGTTTATACACATATTAGTCTAAAATAAAAACGAATCTGTATTTTTAATGTACTTTTCTTGTGACGCACATATACTTTATATTTTTACAAAAAATCTTAACGTTTTGTGAAAAATGCAAAAAAGAGAAATATTTCTAAGAAAGCCATGTTTATAAATGGTGCAATGAAAAAATAGTAAGTGTTTCAATTTTCAAAATCTTTCGAGGGATTACAAATAAGGTCAGTGTGGGAAAACGTTTGTTAAAATAAAGTCCTAAACATCCCAAATTGGATTCTTTTAGATTTCTGCAATTATGAGAAACAAAATAAACAACTGTATTTTAATCTGCTACCCCAAACTCCGATGGTAGACGTTTTTGGAAATAAGTTTGTATAGAAGATCTCCTTTACTTATTGGCAAAGAATTTTGGAAAGAATGACAAGAAAGTTTCTCACAATATTAAAAAAACACTCTATATAGGTACCTTCACAGGTTTTAGAATTTATTCAATGTCGAAGTCCAGTTGTAAATGTAAATCATCTAAAGAATATGATCATCTAAGGAATCTTCGGCAAATTACACTCTTTTAGCCTTAGTGATTTTCTTCATTTTTCAATTTAGTCACATACCATTTTTATAGACTCATTTTCATTATGAAAATCATTTTCAGGTTTGCATCTGTCTTTTGGTGGCTCTCGCTGCAGCTGCAGAGAAGGAACTGAAAGCGTCCAAAGAGAAGAAAGTAGATAAACGTGGCCTGTTGGGACTCGGTGTTGCTGGTACGCATCTGAGTTTGGGAGGAATAGGCATAGGCGCCCCCTTGGGACTAGCAGCTGCTCCTTTAGCTATAGGTGGACCAGCCATTGGAGGAGTTGCTGTTGGAGCTCCACTTGGTACAATCGACCTAGGTGGACACACTCATACTCATACTACCATCACCAGGAACATTGGAATTCCTGTGGCGCATCCAGTTCCAGTACCTGTTGACAGACCAGTACCTGTCTCAGTACCAGTCAGAGGTGAGGACATTTATATTTAAAGATATCGTTTAATTTTTATTTCCAACGGGTTGCATCTAGTTACAGGAAAAATTAAAATATAATAAATAAAAATATAAAAAGCAGATAATAATAAAAAAAAGTGAAAAGCTGTAGTGTAACTGAATTAAAACTAATATTGCTATAATAGTAAGACATTGCTGTAGGGAATTCGTTATTGTATCACACTAACCATCAAAATTATTATAAGAAAATGTACGTTGATGTTAATATCAGGATGATATCACGTTAAAATAGTCCAGATTCACTACAAGCAGTACATTATACACAAACTTAATTGTACCAAGTTTCCTTATTTCTATTAAAATCAAAAACTAAACAGTGGTTCAGGATTTCAACCTTAGGTCGGACATGATAAAGAGGTGGTGTAAAGTGATGATTTTTGACTCCTGATTTCAACAAACTGCTGATGGTCAGTTACATTTGAACGGAAAAGAGGAAGTAATTGAGTTGTAGTTGATTCATCTAGTTTATGTATAGTATGATCAGTGTGATCAAAAGCTTTCCGGATAACAATAAAATAATATAGCAACATAAGTTTAGCCTTTTTTTAACTTGTTCACTTGTGTACCTTGAGAGAAAGGCAAGATTCGTTATTACATAATCTTCCAAAAAGAAAACCATGTTGGTCCGTGTCTAGGATGTTCTTAATATCATTAAATAAAAAAATTAAATAAATGATTACTTGGAAAAATTTCTTTATATGAACACAATATAATAAGATGTACCACAGGGAACAATCCTGGGTCCATGGTTATCCAATATACCTTCTAACAACACTGTCAACAATTCGAATGGATCTCATCTTACAAACTTGCAGACTGAATTAATTACAATAAAACAGTGACAGGAATCTTTGGTGTGGGTTGACTAAAATTGCTCTTAAACATAGGGAGATGTAATGTTTTGTCATATTCTAGGAAGAAAGATAATTCCAATTATTCAGAACGTATTGAATATAAAGTATTGGTAAAGTATCTCTTAACAGACCAGAATTCGTTAAAAACTTAGGAATTACTTAGGACTCCAAATTAAATTTATAGTAATCAAATGCATCACATTGTATCAAAAGTCAAGAGAAGACTGGGATTTATAATATGCAATGCTGATTTCTAAAGTATTGACACTATAAAGCTGTTATATAATTGTTTTGTTCGATCTCTATTAGAATACTGTTCCCATATTTGGTGACCGAATTAGACCATTAGTATTGGTTTGTTAGAAAGAACACAATGCAGATTTTTTAAATTTTGGTCTTATAAAAATACTAACTTATATGCTGCCGTAGGATATTTCTAGCTCCTACTCCTCCAAAAATGTAGTTACTAGTCTTAATATCTTAAAATTCATCGCGACAGGCATAGCGTAATATTTCTTTTTAATGAATAAACAAAAAATTGAATATAAATATTACATACATTAAAGATCAACTTTTCTATACAGATTTTTATGAAACATTTTATTTGAAACCGGTGAACACTAATATATTACACTATTCTCCTTACAACTAATGTATCCTTAGAATTGCGCAAATTATGATCCCCTTCCTCAAATCTGCTATTTTTCTATGCTTCAAGATATGTGCAGCATTAAACTAATACATATTTTTACATTTCATTGCCCGTAGCAGTAGACCGTCCCGTACCAGTAGAAGTTCCTAGACCATATCCAGTCACTGTCGAAAGAACTGTTGCCGTACCAGTTGACAGACCTGTAGCCGTACCAGTGCCTCACGCAGTACCAGTACCTGTCGCCAAACCCGTAGGTGAGTACCGAAATATATACATTATACAGGGTGTTCCTAAATAAGTGTCGCAACGGAAAGCTGTAAATTCCTCTTGAAAAATGAAACATATTTTTCCTCTTCCATTTTTCTCTCCGGGCTTTCGTTTTCGAGATACACGGTGTCAAAACTTTAATTTTTTTTTTAGTTTTTCGCCAATATCTTATAGTGGTGGAGATTTTAAGGTATCATAAGAGTTTTTCCCCCCCTAAATTTTACGCCACTGGAAAAACTGACTTTTGACAGCAAATTCTAAAGCGCCAATGAATTTTACATAATAAGAGTTCTCTTGGTTCATTGCTCTAAAGTCAACCGTTTTCAAGAAAAATGACTTTTTATGAACAAAAGCAAACATTTTGCTAACGTTTCGAAAATCTTTTGTAATTCAAAAAATAGGTAGTAATTATTAAGAATTTTAAGGAAATTTAACAACAGATAGGATTTTAACTTTTTTTTTTATCAATTTGGCGAGTAAAATTTACAGAAACTGTTCAAAATTATCTTCTAATCATGTTTATTTCTGCCGCTGCTGGTTTCACCTCTATCGGTCAACTTTTCGATAGTATTGACATGGATTTCATAAACGATGCATTTTGTTCTCCTGATGTTCTGTTCAGTTACTTGCACTTGCAAAATGTTCAAAATGCAAAATGCAAAAATGTAAAAAATTTTCGAAACGTTAGCAAAATGTTTGCTTTTGTTCATAAAAAGTCATTTTTCTTGAAAACGGTTGACTTTAGAGCAATGAACCAAGAGAACTCTTATTGTGTAAAATTCATTGGCGCTTTAGAATTTGCTGTCAAAAGTCAGTTTTTCCAGTGGCGTAAAATTTGGGGGGGGAACCCTTAGGATACCTTAAAATCTCCACCACTGGCACGTCCAATGAATTCGAGAAGGGTGCGAAAAAGTAGCTATTAATAGTGGTAATGTGTGTACAAAAGCTCAGTCCTGTAGTTCAAACCTAAGATATTGGCGAAAAACTAAAAAAAAATTAAAGTTTTGACACCGTGTATCTCGAAAACGAAAGCCCGGAGAGAAAAATGGAAGAAGAAAATAATGTTTCTTTTTTCAAAAGGAATTTACAGCTTTCCGTTGCGACACTTATTTAGGAACACCCTGTATACTGATAATTACCCATCCTTGTATTAATTTTGCGTTGGTAAGGTAAAATAATGGAATATTAAAGTATTCAGATTACATTACATTCTTATGTATTTTCTTTAAACTTAGTCATTATTTTAAGGGTAGGCTAAGACTTAGTTAACTAATCGGATCAGAATACTTTGAAATTTACATTCTATTTTCACACCATCCAATACTGGCCCTAAATATATCATCGCAGGATCTTTTGTTAGGGCACAGCTTAATGGGAGATTCCTGAGTTTAAAACAGGCCTCAGTCAAGTTGAAAATTTTAACAGTTATGTTTATTAGAGTTTATCAGTTTAGTTAAGGGAAACCTCTCCTTAGTGGTCTAATAAATATGACCATGACTTCTTTGTTCTTTACACATTTAGACCAGAGATAACAAAACTTTTCAGTAAAAATGGTAGATACGATGGTTCTTAGGTTGTTACGCCATGGCCTATGTCCCTAGTCGTTGACAATTACAGAATTATATTGCACTTTCCTAGCTTTAGCTAGCAATCTTTGACCTGCTTTTGTTGTTCTCAAGCTAGTCTCTGTGGAGACTGACCGGCTATCCGAACCCCTAGGTCTACCCTGATGTTTATTTCGGTTCTTGTTGTTGGTTCTAAATTCACTAAGGACAGATAATGGTGGTCAAATAAGACGTTCCGTAGTGATCTCTATAACTAATCGCATCCAATGCTTGTATGTATCTATAACTGGTGGAGACCAAGTACATAGGCCATGACAAAACAATCCGAAAAACCATCGCATTTTCAATATCAGCACGAACTGTGCCTTTTCAAACCATTACGGTATTCTAGTTAATTGACAATCCTTTCTGATTTTTTCGTGTCATAGCAAAATTGAATTCTTGAAGTTGGATTCAAGCAATTTATTTAATTTTTGGTATATTCTAATGTTTAAAAAGTATCTACTTATATTACTATCTTCATTGATATATCTCGTCCCAATAATGTTCCTATCAAAATTGTTAATTGTTCTTAAATTAAATTGGACCCTTTTTCAAATCTTATGTAATAAGGAAATGTTTCTGTTTAATATACAGGGTGTTAAAAAAAGAGTGTAAAATATTTCAGGAGGTACTAGTATGAACCAAAATAAGCAGAAAAGTCTTAATAAACATGGGTCCGCAAAGTAACGGTTGCGGAGATATGGACCACTATTCGTTTTTCAAACATTTTATTTTATTAGGAATAAACCGACAGAGGAAGCTTTTAACGAACAAAAAACAAAGTTACAGAAGATGTTCAAAGTGCCCTCCGTCCATTTCCAAACAGGCACGACATCTTCGTCTCAACGATATTCGAACTCTTTCGAAAACACCCTCCTTGGTTTGAATTTCTTGACACTTTTGATTAATCCGTAGCTGCAGCTCTTCCAGGCTATTTACAGGAGTACCATACACTAATGTCTTCAAATATCCCCAAACAAAGAAATCTAGAGGGTTCAGATCAGGCGATCTTGGAGGCCATAAATCAGGTCCAATCCTTCCTACCCATCTATGTGGAAAAGTTTGGTGTAAATGCTCTCTAACGGCCATGGAAAAATGAGCTGGAGCACCATCATGCTGGAACCACATTTGTTGCCTCTGATTCAAAGGAATGTCTTCCAAAAACTCATACAGTGTGTTCTGCAGAAAGTGCAACAGGACCTAGAAACCTGTCACCTACAATACCCATCCAAATGTTTAATGAAAAACGTGCCTGATGTCCAGATTCTATTAGAGCATGAGGATTTTCGTCGGCCCAAATATGCGTATTGTGAAAATTAAACACTCCATTTCTTGTGTAAAGTAAAAAGAATGTTTGCAAGAAAACGAGGGTCTTCAGCATCATGACGTAGAAACCAGCGGCAAAAAACCAAACGTGATTGATGATCATTTATTGGATTTAAGGCCTGTACTCGTTGCACATTGTATGGATAAAGCAGTTGCTCGTGAAGGATTCTCCAAACAAGAGGACCACTAATTCCTACCTCGGCTGATATTCTCGGCACACTCGTACCTGGATTCTGCTCTACCAGTGCTAGAATTTCTTCTTCTGCTCTAGGAGTAGATATCGACCTTGGTCTTCCGGTTAAATGGCACTGTTTTCTCAAGGAACCGGTATCACGCAATCTTTGGTGAATTCTTCCAAACATGCGTTGTGAAGGAATCTGGTGATTTGGATAAGCGTCAACATAAAGACGTCGCGCTTCGGTGGCGTTCCCATTAGCACGACCATACATGAAATGCATGTCTGTTAATTCTGCGTTAGAGTAACCAACCATAGCGAAAGAAAACTTGTGCACTGAGAACAACTGTCAAATACGTACTGTTTATTTCACTAAATATCAACCAACCAATATCAACCAATAAGAAAATACACAACGTTTTTGCAAAATAAAAAAAGGGTCTAAAAAACATAAAATTTGCGGACCCATGTTTATTGAGACTTTTCTGCTTATTTTCGTTCATACTATTACCTCCTTAAATATTTTACACTCTTTTTTAACACCCTGTATATACCTATAATAGTGAAAGAAAAAAATGTTTTTTTTGAGTTTCAACTGTAATTTTATCCAAAAGTAATCATTTTTTTTGGTACAATTCAAATATGAGAATAAGAAAACTAAAAACATATTTACTTCATCTGTGACGATAATGATAACTATTTAAATTTTCAGCTTGACCTTATAAATTAATCCAAAAACAACATTCGATAAACACATGTTTGTCCAAATTAACCTAACGTAACCCCTTATATCTTTCATTAAGCTGTGTCCATTTCTTAATTAAATATCGTGTATTTGAATATAAAATCATATTAGGAACTTAACTACTACATACTGTAGTGGAAATAATATTTAATTTATCTTAAAATATTTTCTGTTTTTTTCTTTAGGTATCGCTGTACCCGCTCCATACCCCGTAGCAGTTCCAAATCCAGTCGCTGTTCCCGTTGCACACCCCGTACCTGTTGCCATTTCTAAAACCATCATTGCTGACACTCACCCATGGTGAACACTGTAAAATTAAAATTTTTGTACGTATTTAAAATCCTTTAAATTTATTAATTTTGTACATAAAATAAAATAAAATAATTACTTTCTTGGAGTTTCCTTTTTCTTAAAAAAAAAGAGTTACAAGTATGTGTAATTGTGTACCGCTACCCTTAGAAATATTATTGTCACTATATTAGGTAAACAGGGTGCATAATTAGCAACTGAAATAATTAATCCTTAGCCAGGTTGTATATTTAAAAATTGAAAAAAAAAATAATATAAATAAGCATAATTATCTTAAAAGGGCTTCCTCTTGCTCTTTGAAGGATTAATCGAAATCGAAATTTTGCAAATTTATTGTTTTTAGATAATAATAATCATTCTAAAATATCTTCGAAAGTTGAAAATAGAATGGTATAAACCTTTAACCATTTAACAATTATTCCATTTATAGCCGAGATTCCAATATATGCAACACAAAAATGGACCACCCGTTACATATAGTGCTATAAATTCAGGGGCTGATAGAACATCAAACAATATGGAGACTTTTTCCTGTGGATCATGGACATACGGCCCCTCATTTTCGAGATACAGAGTGTCAAAAGTATTGTTGAAACTAAATGTTTGTTCCAAAAAAGGCTCTGTATCTATTGCAATGAAATATAGTAAGGTTACGTTTTTGAGGCCGTTAGATAGGTATTATATGGTAGAGGTTACGACCTTTCCCAGTGATGACATAACTTTTTTGAGGTTACGTTTTTATTTTATTTTTCGTAAAACGGTACTCTTATTGTATTAACTGCATCGTAAATCAGCAACTACTCCTCAATATACAAATTGTTTGCAACCGATTGAGCCATAATCTCATGATAGCTTTCGTGGATGAAACTAAACTGTTTCAGATCAAACTACTTTAAACAATTTTTTATGAGAAAAGACAATAACTTTTTAAACAAGCAAAATTACACTAAGGTAACTTGTCTAAATCAGCTTACTTTCGTCCAAAGTATGGTCCATTGGTTTTAGAAAACCCTATATATTAAAAATTAAAAGCTGTTTAACTTTGCGTCAACAGCAATATCCTCAAAGAACATTGCGATTATAGCGACTTCAACAAGAGTACCTTTTTAATATAAAACGAAATTCAATGTTGTAATACAGGTGTACTGTTGATCTTCATTTAGCACTCTTAAATACTTTCCATTGTTTTTTGGCAATGATATGGCCAAAATTTTAATAAACAAAACATCTTTGACGCCTTCAAAAACAAACATGGCCAATATGTAGCCAACAAGTTCGAGTTCCCTAGATACTAAAGGATATAAATAATAATAAAATAAACATAGTATGATATCTCCAGCAGACAAAACATAACGCTATTGCTAAATATTGAACACAAAAAAAAACAGAGTTACTATTGAAAATGACGGCAGTAAAGAACGGCTCCCACAAAGACTATCCCCAGAACAACAAGAGCAGCTCAAAAATTCCCAGCTAAATTTAGGGAAGTGCAAGATAATTCTATAATTGGCGACGACCAGGTACATAGGTCACGGCATAACAACACGAAAAAAAGCTTTAAAGCCAGTGTTACAATTTTGACATTATTTTACAGTTTGTCAGCATTACAATAACTCTCATTTGAAGCTTCCAGATTCTAGATATTAACTTCATGACAATCGCACGCACGTGCAATTAATTAAATAAAATTTAATGGGGTTAAATGTTCCTTGTTTCTATAACATTTAATTGTAACGTTTACGTTGCCTACTTGTAAGTTGCATTACGTTTCTTTAATATTTGATTGAAAATTCTTATAAATCAACTAAAACACATTATTTTAACAGTTTTAAGTATTATGTGTTCATTGGGTAGGTATAATAGTTGAATAAATTGAAAATTGAAAATATAATATAATTACAATTCTTAATTTTGTTATAACAAGAATTAAAAAAAATATCCGCCATATTTTAATTGTAATACACGTATTTGTATTAAACCTTAATACCAAAGAAACATTATTAGATCATTGTTTGAAATAGCTAATTATCTTAAATTACTTTATTATTTATCAGAAACTAAATTTGTTTAAGGTAATGTCGCGGGTTCTATTGTTTCTTGCAGAATTCAGTCCGCTGTTGGTCGCCTGGTTGTGCTAGGAGATATGTTGGTTGCCGATCTATGGTGGCGGTCCCACGTTGGGCACCACAACACCGCGGCACCGTGAATGCGCCTCATCCTGATTCGATTCCGGCTATTGAGACCTACTAGATTCTCACTTAACCATCATCAACGTGCCGGAGACCCGCATAAGCGGTAGACGCCTGCTCGGGGGATGGACAGTTCCCTAGCATCTCATTCCTCTCCCTCTTATTATATGTCCCTGCGTCCATCAACGAGGAAAAATGAGATCTCCGATCCTCCGCAATCGGTTCGAGGAGCTCAGGACTATCTAACTGTTTGGAATGTGTGACCTACACGGCCATTGAAGCACTTCACTGAATTTGGTTTCCAATTTAGGATACTTGGAAAAGTGGTTTGGGTTCTTGTGTCACCCTGTATGCACTCGATTCGGATCTTATACCCTAGTGTCTGAAGATGTTTTTGATTCACTATGATTTACGGACTCCGTAGAATGCCTACACGGAAGCTTTTAGAAAGCATAGTTCAGTGTGGAGCTGAGAGCGTTAGAGCTGGAAGTTTGGGTATTTTTTGTAGAGAAATAATAACTCGAGAAATAAGGTATATATAAATCATTTATTTCTATGCTGCTTGATAGAACAGAATGTGGCTATGAATACGAATCCTTTTAGAACGGCGAGTGCAAGACTCACAAGGTGCTAGGCTCTGACTGATAAACTACAATTGCCGCGGATGCACATTCAATTACCGGCAGGGTAGATTCCGGTAAGATGACTACTGCAAGGTCTGGTTCAGCGACATCTCATTTTGGCTCGCTATGTTGGCATCTTCGCCTGGTCTGGTCGTTTGGTGGTAATTTGTTATCTAAAACTAGATAGAGTTAATACCGACCCGGAGGTTTGGCAGGAGACGGCTTTTGGTGTCTCTTGAAAGGTCTCTCCTGGTGGCTCAACGGTAGAAATTCGGAAAAATCAGTGATTTTTTTAGTTTTGCCTCTGAATCCTGTGGATGGTTACAACGCTCTTTGGTGAACTCGTCGATACCGTTGTGGATGTCCTCAGGGTGATTACACGTCGATCATACCATTTGCGGGGCTTTATGCGGATTTTTCAAAACATACGCGAACAACGTTGTGCTGAACGTCTCTTGGCATGATAGAAGGCTGTTCGTAGCGTCTGAGGAACTTCGAGTAGAATCTTGAAACATCTGTGAATTTAAAAAAAATACTATTCTATAATGTTGCCACCGAAGACTTACGAGCATACTTGACAGTAACTTTTTTCAGGATTATTACTTCAAACATTCCGTTATAACGAAAAAAGAGTATTAAATCCAGAAAAAATAGTTATAATGACATTTTAGTGATTATATATTTTATTTAATAAAGTATGATGGAGTTTTGACAAAATTTGAAAATTTAGTACTGCAATTTCTATTTTTTAAAAGAATCATCCGAGGATCTGTGGTATTTTGAGAACCACATTATTTGATCTTTCCCGTTTTCAGAAAATGTCAATAGAAAACCTTACTTAGAACATGTTAAAAATGTTAATGTTGTGCTAGATCAGTATCGTGGAAACAAATTAAGCTAAAGTTCATTTTGATATTCAGTTGGATCATCTGACAATCTATACACATTTTTCCCTAAAATTACAATTTGAAGAAATATAAAATGACAAATAGTTTGAACTCTTATCAAAGAAACATTCAAAATAACAAATTGCTCCAAAACCTAAAAATTAATTACAGAACTAATTATTTACAAAGTAAATTGGCATATTAATTACTCACGAATTAAATATGAATATAAACACAATATACAGTCCGTAGGACTTTTGTTGAGATGGAATTCGAAGAAGACCCCTGCGTCACTTTCTTAGACTTAACCGCATTTGACCCCCGAGGTAGAAAGACATAGGCGGCGTGGAGTTCACCGTTCATCCGATTGAAATGATATGGACTCAAGTTAAAAATATCATACCAAAGAAAAATGTATTTAAATTTAATCTCAACAATTATAGTACGGAATTATTTATACGACATATAACTTTTGGTATGCAACATTCATTGCACCAAAGTTTTAATATAGTCTATGATTAGAAATCTTGTTTTTAAATAATTGCAGTTTCATATTTACGTTTTTATTAAAAAAAAGCTCGCAATAAAAGGAATACTATCCTACAATGTCACACGACCTTAAGAAGAAAGAATAAACAGGTGATAACTGTCTAGTGGATATGGAGTACCAATATTTTATTGATGTTGTGTATTCAGGACTTTTTAAAAGTCAGATTTTTTTAGGAAATGAACTCATGCTATTTTCCTAAAGTCTGACTAACATAAGCAATTGTACTAATATAATTGTATTTTACTCAAAATCGTTAACAATACACTAAGGCGTAAAATAGCGAACCTCGCATTTTCAACCCAGCACAAATTTCAGTTGGCTGGTCTCTTGCAGTTATTATTATTTTACCATAGATTGAGTGTAATCCTCTTCTGGATCCAACTTTGGTTGTTCATAAAGAACCTGTCTTCTGTGGTCTAATGCTTCACGCTCGTATATGCTACGATTTTTGTCGCTCAGGTTTGCATTCTGGTCGGTATCATTCTGTCCCAGTGTCAAAACGCAATATCATTTGAGGGAACCTGTTACTATTGGTAGCTAGCTAATGAGAACAGTCTCCATTCTTTTTTTTTGTTGGTTGTTTGCTGTAAATCTCACCGTGTTGGTTGGTCTATTAGATAAGTTGTCCCCTCAATTTAATTGTTCACCGCGTTCAGGGCAATACACAAAGACTGAAGTCTTCCTAGTTAATTTGTCAGCTTTTTCATTACCCTCAGTACTTGAGTGTCCCCGAACACATATCAGATTCTCCCCACATCCACATATTCCCATACCAGTTTGAATTTGACTGACGGATTTGTATCTCCGCGTTGTAGGTATAATTTCTGGTTTTAAATCTTATGCTTTACCTCGAATCGATGTGGCTAACATTTCTGATTTTACGTAGTTGCTGATAGCAAACAACTTTTGAATCTAAAATTCTTCCAGAATATTTTATTTCTCATGACAACTCTACTCGTAGTTGTTTACCTTGAAGTTCTAGTGGTTCCAATTACTCCTAGTTTATTTATTTTGGTGAGTGTTGCTCTGATTTATAAGGACTAATTCCTTATCTATCAACCTGGGACAATATTCAGGGCATTCTGCATTTGTTCCCTTGTTATATTGCTGTATTTACTTTCAATCAGAATGAGTAAATCAGCTGCATATGAGTTTTCTGTCCCTTCCTATTCTATTTCCATAGTTGCCCGTCGATGTAGTGAGATATCTTCCAATAATACAGTCTTCTCTTAGTCTTCATTCGATTTATCCACCAACAATATTGCTGCAATAGGATTATAATGAAGTAGTAACCTACTAACTGGGCTGAATTAGAAAATTAAGTTCTTAGAATTACAGATAGTTTAAATTTAATGTCACTGAAAATAATTGGAAGTTTTTACATTGTCTCGGTTGTACAAAGAATATATAGTTATTTTTGTTTATTGAAACAATTTTTTTTATATTTATTTGAAAGTAACTAAAGCAACTGCTATGCCTATAAGGCACTACATATTTCATACGCAAAACAAGATATATCTTAGTACATGACAGAAATTATAGTGCCACAAGACATACCAACTTTCATTGCTTTAACTATTTTAAAGTAAAGACGAGAAACTGGTATTTACGGTTGTATAAACATTTAAATCATATATGGAAGCGCAAAAAAACTAGTTCCAGGTGTATAAAATTGTTGATTCATAATTCTTGGTATGAGTACACTTTAAAAAATGTGCGCTGTTATTACATGGGTTTGAAAGAGTATATATTCTATAAGATGGATATTCTGAATTAACATAACAGTGATGCGTGTTTTCCATCTTGAAATTGAGAGAAACATTAGTAAAAATATATAGTGCAACTGTGTTAGGATGAGGAACTAGAAATTATCAATAAAGAGAGCATTTCTAAAACAGTGAGGAATTAGAAGCATATTTTATTTACTTTCTACTTCTGAAAAAAGCAAAAATTATTTGTGCTAGAAATATGAGTAGGTCACTTGCTCCTTATTAAAATAAAAGAATTGCCTAATACTTTCTTTACAATTAATGAATATCTAGGCGAACATGTAAATTTATAATATTTTGACTTGTTTGTTTCTATTTAACAACATACTTCTACTTTTCCATATTATTTATTCCTTATTCTATATTTCTTTCCTTTCGCGAATTGCAATGTTATTCATTAATATTGATATATATTTAGATAAAAAAATAATGGATAGTTTTTTATGTGTGGCAATTATTGAATATTATCTTTATGTATATACATAGGTAGTGAAACTTATTATTTAAAAATTAAAAGGTTTCAATTTAAGTTCGAATGCAGCAAATATAAGTAAACGAAATGTTGACCTTTTTAAATAAAAAAAATTTCATTTTCTTAATAATGTGTTTAGAGCCCTTTTTAAAAAATATTGAATCTGTGAGGGTATGTAAAAAATTTTCTGATTACTTTTTCAAGAATAGTACGAATTGCTGGGAAAACACCGATTCTGAACTAAATGTGGTGAGTGATGAAAAATTACTTATGGATTTTATTTATCTCGAGGGCCTATTTATATAACATTTTGTGTTGCAGAAAGACCTCACAAAATAAAAAAAATTAATATTTATATTGATTGATTAAGTATACAGAACTATTTATACGGTTTTAGGCGACGATTTTGCAACAATTTTATTCGGAACCATCAAACACGAACAAAATGTATTCTTACGTATTCTTGAATTTTTTTGCAGACACAAATAATAAGAAAATGGGGTTTTAATGCAGAAGAGCATTATAATAGAACAGAAGATGGTTATGAAATTTTGATAGTTCGATCCTACTCGAAAATAACTCGATCTACACCAATTGTTATTGGCCATGGAATATATATGAACAGTTTAGCATTTGTGGACACTGGAAAAAAATCTCTAAGTAAGACATTTTTCTATTAAAGCGAAATGGGAAAACTGAAAGAAAATACGCTATTTATTTTCTTATTTTCTATTTAATGTTAAACTACGTTTAATAAACATAATAGTGGTAATTTTTAATGATTTTTTAGTTTTAGTAAGTTTCAGAAAATAGTAAGTACTTATGTTATTTATTGTAGATTACAATTTTGTCTGGAATTATTTATTTGTGGAGTGATTATAGTTTATTCTATATTTATTTTGATAGCACCTATGAAAGTAAATTTATAATTAATTAAACAAACCCAAAAGTAATAGCGTTATAATGTATACTTTTTATTTTTTATTTATCTGCCTTAATTATTTTTTTTGATTGATTTAAACTTTAAACTTATTTTTACATGTGACAAAATACCTAAATGAACAAAAAACTATGTACAGGATGTCCCGAAATACATGCATCAAAATTTGGTCACAGATTCTTAAGAAAAATTTAAGCGATCCGTATTTTTTATTTTTGCCAAGTGGCCCCCTCTTTCGGAGTTACAGCCCCCCGAAATCCGCCCCTAAGAATAATCTTCTTTTTTTATATCTCAGAACCCATGTGAAATCTGATGGTGCTACGTTTTTTGGCGGGAAACCCCCTTAAGATAATTTTTCGTAGACCCCCTCGTCTTTGGAGCCAAAAAAATTTGATGGCATATTTAAATTTCTTAAAAATTATCAGTTCACTAGAAAGCCATTAAATTTAGAAACTTTTTGTCTCTTTATACTTTTTTCGTAAAACGCAATGTTTTCGAGAAAAATGTCAAAATGTGATCGAATGCATATCGTGATTCGCCATTTTCCTCAAAAACATTGCGTTTTACGAAAAAAAATATCAAGAGACAAAAAAGTTTCTAAATTCAATGGCTTTCTAGCTAACTAATAATTAAAAAAAAATTCAAATTTGCGACCAAATTTTTCTGGTTCCAAAGACAAAGGGGGCCCACGAAAAAGTGTCTTAAGGGGATTTCTCTCCCAAAAGCATAACACTGTGAGATTCCACATGTCAAAAAACCCCTGTTTACCAAATTTAGTGATTCTCGTACAACATTGTTTCGAGATATAAAAAAGACTTCTTAGGGGCAGATTTCAGGGGGGGGGAACTCTGAAAGAGGGGGCCAGTTGACAAAAAGAAAAAATACGGGTCCCCTAAATTTGTCTTAAGAATCTATGACCAAAGTTTGTTGCATGAATTTCGGGACACCCTGTATCAATTTATGAGTAGTACAAAATTTACAAAAATCTAATATTTTCTCGTCATAATCTGCTATAAATGTTTTAGTTTTAATTCGGATAGCTATTCACTTTTTTAATAAAAGAATAATTTATTTTCACGAATAATGTAAAAGTAGTTAGCATAGGTAAAAATAACGTTTTAGTAACTTAAGGTGGCCATATCCCTGGCCGAGAAATGGTGAAATTTCTGGCATTTTTAGGTACTGAAATCTTGAAAAGTAAAACGTGTAGAACAAAAGTAAGCACAAAAATAAAATCCTTGATGTTTTGTTTATTCATTGTTACCATTTAAATTTACCCAAATAAAATAATAACTAAAAAAAAGCGTTTGTAAAACATGCGTTTTCTGTTATCCTAACCCCACATTTTAAGAATTATTTTCACGTACTTATAAATAAAAGTAAACAATTTTATATGTAGAACTAAGCAAGTAAATGTTATAAGAATATTTACATGTGGA